TTGTACTTGTCAATAATGCAGTCACAAATTTATTAACCATATTTCTTGCACTAAATCTTGCAGAAAACGACGAATACGTTTCATGCGCAGGTGAAATCAACATGAACTGCTACACGGCTGGCGTCACTGACTGGAAGGCGAATACCAGTTACTTCCGTATACACCTTGACCATGCAAAATGCTTTAAAACAGAAACACCAAAATGTGATTTTCCTATTCAACGGCACATCAACGCCGTCGTACAGGAGTTCAGCAAGCAGCTGAAAGTGCATGAGCCTTTGGGGGAACTGTAATCAAGGAGATCAAGCAACTGATTGAATGGAAGTTATGCCATAAGATGTTCTTGGGAAATATAGTTATATGAATTGTATAAATGCGATATATCGGGAACTAAACTCAAGGACTGTTGTTTGGTATCTATCTCATTGCTCTTTTATCGTGATTTGGTTGATGTCCGGATTCTGCTGGGCAAACAAAATCAGTATTGTTGACCGTAAACAATCACTTTAAAGGTATTTATCGCTTGGTTCGGTGTTAAATCTAATCAGTGTGTAGCGAGAAAATAAACCAGAGAATGTTAATGGTCATTTTCACGATTGACTTATATTTGCATTTGGTGAAATTTGTCTCTGTTTTATTTCGGTCCAAAAAGATCACATGGGCAGGGTCACGACTTATATTTATCCTTAGAAGTACTCGAAGCAGTAACACATGACATACAAAAGCCGCGCCCCGCATATTTTAATTTGCTTTTCAATGAAGGTTTTACGTATTATATCTAGAGCGGTTTTCAGTTGGGTGTCGTAAAACCAAACCCAAGGTACTGAATCACTCTAGCCAATCAAGGAGGAATTGTAGACGATGCAAAGAGCCAATCAAAACTCAAACTAATTGCATGTAGCCAACGGAAAACACAGGTCACACAACGAGCTACTTTGTCGGAATTCATCGGGGGTCATCATTGCCTACGAACGGGCCAACAGAGCGTTTCTTTCAGGTCGGGAACAGATATTATCCGTTACTTGAATACTGACATGGAAAGAAATCATAACCATATTACTCTGAGAACAGTTCAAAAGTGATTAAAACATTCTGCTGTCGTTATTGTTTTCCTCATTCAATTCTCTCGTCAACATGTTCTCAAAAGATCCGTATGTATACTGACCCCACGGCTTTACCTTCGTTCTTGATCAGCTTTCGATCTTGTGAAATAGAAACGGATTAACGTATTAAAAATGGAGAGATATTCTAACGACGTCTAACGACGAACTGAAAGACAAGCTTTCGCAATATCGAGCACGTCTCATATTCGCGTTTGGAGTTTCAATGGTCAAATGTTGCGCCCCTTCAATTTATCAAGAGNGATATTCTAACGACGTCTAACGACGAACTGAAAGACAAGCTTTCGCAATATCGAGCACGTCTCATATTCGCGTTTGGAGTTTCAATGGTCAAATGTTGCGCCCCTTCAATTTATCAAGAGTTGGAGATTAAGAATATTGTTGTTGGTTGGTTAGCTGCTCGATATTTTTTCCTCCGTCCACGCCTGCATAATTTGTTGCATACCTGTTTGATAATTTTTATGAGAGATTTGTCCTCCCCTCTCCCTTAAATAATCTAGTGGCCCACCCTCGAAGGATCTCAATATAAAAAGTTCTCCGAATGGGAAAGTGTTCCGTGATCAACTAAAAGCTCAGTGTCCTCCCACTAAAAGCTGTCTTTATGTATAAAGTTCCCTGCAAATCATGGAAAGGTTGTCGATCGACGAAACAGTTGCCCTTACACTACACGCAATATTTGCTTTTTTTCTGGAAACAAAAAATGTTTGTGATGTTTTTATTTTTCATAAGAAACATTGAAACATTTTGTGGTTGGGAAACGGTTTACGTGAATGACATATTCTCCACAACACAAAAACTTTCCAGAAAAGCGCTATGCCTTCGTTCCTTTTGGAAGATATCTACCTTTGGTCTACTTTGGTTTTGTGTTGATTGACAAGTTGTCATTATGATCAATTAATTTTTTAAACAATAATGTAAAAATTCGCTTGCAAAATTCTTTCATGAAAGTGTCAATTGCTTAGCACCTAGCTTATTTTGAACTGGCTAGCTGCGGGGTTAGATTAAGTAAAGGATCAGTAAAGAAGCCTTTTTTGCCTCAAGGCAGTTTGTGTGAAGGAGATATTACCTGCAACATGCATTACCTTTCAGAAAAGTATTTTATTTTCATTACTTTTTAACTCGTGAATGCGTAAGCAAGTTAAGGGTTGAGGTGGTGGACCAGATTATTACATTACGGTTGGTCTATCATCTGTCTTAGCCTCCCATCGGAATTTCGCTGTTTTACAGGCCCAGATATCGTTTGACATCTCTAGCTCAAAATGTTCCTTTGCCAGTGAAGTGTGATAAAACATTACCAACTCTGTGTATCGTGCAAACAAGTGATGCCGTCTTCATCTTCCTCTTACATGAAACGTTTAACCATAAAATATCGACGATGAAATATTGTCTAAGATCATTTACAACTCTTTTAAAATTGAGAAATCGACGACGTTCCACCTTGACAGGACGTTATGTCAAGTGAAAGTTAAAATAAAAGGTGTAAGTACTGCGAATTAACTATAGATCTTTAATCAAGGACTGTGAAATACAAAATATATTACGTTAAACAAAGAATAGAGATGACTTAAATGCTCAAATTTGTATGAAGTTTTTTTCTTATGTAAAAAAAGTTGATCTCGCATAGCTTGAAACAGGCAAACGTCCTTTGGTATTCACTCATTACATGAAAATGGACTTGTCCTGACAGGGTAACATCGTCATTAGTGGGTTTCTGTTCCTAGAATTGCTTGGCAATCCTCGACGTTTAGCAATGCGTAGGAGAACGCTTCGGGATGTATAACAGTCAGTAGCTTTGGTTGAAGAAAAACTGCCAACTCTCGGGCTACAGGAAATGTAGAATCCATGTTACAGTGACTAACTGAGATGACTAACCGAGATAAGAAATTATCTGCTAAGTGTGCCGTGAGTACAAGCAATGCTGTTTTCAGCTGTACAGTGGAACTCCGCCTTACGGTCACCTTGCTATTACGGCAAGGTCTTTTGTCCTGGCGAAATAACCCCCGTTTATACGGCCACTCAAACCAGTTATGTTCAACTTTCCATTGTTAATATTGGAAAAGTGATTAAAGGGGCTAGGTCACGCAATTTTAGGCAGTTTCAGCACTGATCAAATGGTCATAGAATTAACTAAAATATCACAAAAGCGGCTCAAAACTATAGAAGATCTCAAACAAAACACAGGAAAGCCAAGAAGGGACATGAATGGACAAAACTGGAGAGGATTAAAATGGACTGGATTTGGGTAAATTTGAAAAACGTCGGCCCACCTTTTTTCAAATTTGTAAATGTCATTTACACAGCTGGAAAATCATTCTCAGTTGTTTTGTGGCCGTGATTTTGCAAGTGAAAGACTTTTGCTCTGCCAATTTGACACTTAGAGCTCATAATTAACAAAATTAGACAAGATTACCTAAAATAGTGTGACCTAGCCCCTTTAAAGTTTCAATTTTCTTAAATCATATCTGCATTCTGGATGCTTATGAAAGAACAGTTGTTTAGAAATGCAACTTTGATATACCTGTGAAGAATTCGTTCAATTTAGATCAGTCATGAAATTTGACCCTGCCAGGTTAAAACGGCCACCATATAACTGACGGCCAAATTTTCATGGCCCGTTGGTGACCACATTAATCGGTTTCCTTGTACTTTTAAATTAAACTGAATGTCTGGAAACTGATGATGTGTCGTCAGTAATTTTACATTTTTTTCCTATTTTAAAATGTTTAACTATAAACGTATGCAATGAAATATTGCTTGAGAACGTTTGCGCCCAAAATGTTCTCACGCGCAGATTTCTTTAAAACTTACCATTAGTAAGGTAAAGATCAACTGTTGCCAAAAAAAAGCAAAGCAAAAATTGGGGTCACGGTGCTCGTTTTCCAGATATGGCGCATTGAAGACCATACGTTTCTACAAGCTTTCGTTATTTTAAGACGATCTTAGCTTACAGCTATCAGCAATAAAAGAAACTACATTAGAGAAATTTAGATTCGGTTAACGTGCTCAATTCAATACAGCTGAGACTATCAGATAAACTTTTTCAGTTGATGCCGGTCTTCGAGGTAGAACTTGAACAGTTTACAAGTGCGAGTAAACATTGCGAGCCTTTCTCTACAATGAGTGGTGTCCAGTCTTTTGTGGGCATGAAGCAAAGATGGCGGCTAGCTGTACGGGAATGGGACAACGTGGGCAAGGATTTCTGTGTATATGAATGCTTTTCCCGTAAGCTGAATCAGCCCAGCGTTATATACATGAAACGGGACCAAAAAAGTGGTTACTTAAGAAGTTACTTGACTGATTTATCCAGGTGAGCGCATAATTGAGCTTAAATT